GCTGGCAACCGCAAGGCAAATGCGGCCAGAGGCAGGTCATAAAACCAGATGTTGCCAGAACAAAGCAGGGTGTGTATGTGTGTGTACGGTTGTGCGTTTGTGTACACTTTAACTCATTAGCGTGTAAAGAATCTTAACGCTTCAAAATGAATTAATTTTCATCCAATTTGACGTTGACACACATACACAGGCTCACACACAGGAAATGACAGCAGCAAAGAGCAGCTCTTAGCTCTTCAGCTGGCTACAGCATGCACCTGTTTGTTTGCCCCAGCCTATCCGCTGCCACGCCCAATAAACACTGTTGCTCCTGTGCGCCTCTTGGCAGCCTATAATTTTGATTATTTTATTTTATAGCTGCCGGCGACGCTTTTGCTTTGTGCGCTGGCTCAAAACTAAAGTCTGTCAGGCGCGCAAAGACCTCTGTCTGCTCAGCGTGCAAGTGTGTGTGTGTGTGTGTGTGTGTGTGTGTGTGTGGGTGGGTGGGTGTATGTGTGTGTGTGTGTGTGTGTGTGTGTGTGTGGGTGTATGTGTCTGTGTGTGTGTGTGTGTCTGTATTTAAATCCGATTTGAATAATTACAAATTTCAATTGTATGAAACCAACGGCAGCAGACGCCGCCGTCATGACAGCCAGCAATATGACGCCATATGGAAATGGCAGTGCTCTGCCACACCCACACACACACACACACACACACACAGAGAGACACACACACACTTTGACTGTGGCACGCACATTTACCGTACAATGGAAACAGCAGCCGCTGTCGCAGTCGCAGTTGCTGATTTTACAGTCGCTGGTCACAGGCAACGGCTTCTGTTTCTGCCGAGTTAAAGATAAGATTATTGCCCGACACACACACACACATACAGCCATACACACCTATACACACACCTCGCTGTGCTTGGGAATTATTTTCGTCGGCGTCGCCTTTTGTTTGAGCTCGAGTCTGCGGTCGCCTATTTGGTGGCATTGCTACGTGATACGTGAGAGTCGAGAGCTGCCAGCACTTCAGCGCACACACATTGGGGCACTTACATTTTATTCATAATATTGAAATAATACCCGCACACTTGTACACACTGTACTCCCGCACGCGCCAGTGACAAAAGCCAACACTCGGTTAACCCAAACCATTTTTCCCTAGCAACGCTTTTCAAATTTCAGCCCAACAGCGATTAACTCCGTAAATGCTTAAGGACCTATATACTGCTGGAAAATTGTATTTAAGGAAATATTCCACAAAAATAAAAATTGCAGCAAAAAAACTCGTAAGGGCTTAAATGTGTATTGTTCGCTTAGAATTTAGAAATTATCTATAGATGCTGATCTTTAAGTTTGTTGTATGAAAAAATTTCCAAATAAAGAATATATTCGCGTACTTTAAGAGTTATTCTAAGCAATCACGTTTCATACAATCGATTTTTGCCAATTTTCCACACTTGTGGAACCCACTAAGAATAAATTTAAATGACATTATGTAATTACCGCAAAAAATCCAACCTCATGTGTTCTGATCGCCGACTAGCTAGTCAATCAGTCAGTTAATCAATCAATCAGTCAGTCAATCAGCCAGCCAGAGCAAATATATTTCAAATGTATATATCAATAATAATAAATGAATATTAAGCTTGTTGTACTTAATTGATTATTGGTAATTGTTGCAGTTGCTAAAACTCTTATTACTGCATTGTCAATCAATCAATCAATCTGCTATTAGCTATTAGCCGACGGTACGAATGGGCAATTTGAAGAGGAATAACTGCAGACTGCTGCTCTATGCAAATGATAATAATTATTATAATAGAAATAACGATTATAATAAAACTCACACACTCGTAACAACAAGAACAACAAGTTAAAAACCTAATAATTGCCTAATTATAATTCCAACTAATGAGTTTTCAAGTAGATATCTACATCTCCGTGCTCCGAGCTCCGAGATGAGCCAACTGCGTGTCCCTGAGTCTCTATCGTATTGCTGTCGTTGACTTCCTAGTGGAGGGAGTTTTACGCCTATCTATGGTACATTTTTGTGGCATTTCTATTATGGGATCCATTCCCAGGACTGTAACGGGGTGCATTGTGTATTTAGCATGCTTATCGCTTAATTGTGCGACGAGCAACCGAAACAAGAACAAAAACAAGCGCCAACTGGCAATTGGCAACTGGCAACGTTTGCCACACGAAATATGCAAAACAAATACAAAATTTATCAAATTTTGAGCAGACAAACTTTGGAGTGTTTTTGCATTGAAACTGCTGTAGCTGCTGATGAGTAAAGCATCAGGATGCGGAGCAGAAGTAGGAGGGGTAGCAGGAGGGGGAGGATTATCCAATGAACTAACACGAGTCTAGAGTTTGGCAAAATAAACTAATAGGAAAACCGAGTGAGGCAAGGTACTCGCATGTGGAATACCCTGCCCCAAAATACGCTCATATCAAATTGCTTTTTAAAAGTTATACAAAACTTAAATGTTGCTGCTTCTGTTGTACAATAGCATATCCATCTATCTGGAATTAAGCTGCAGGCTTGCAATGGGTGGATAAATGGAATAGCGGGCTGTCTACACATTTTATAGCCACTGTGTCGCAAAGCATCTTCGACTATAAAATATATTCTTTATGCCCCCTTTTGATGATCTAACAGCAGCTAACTCAGCACCGTAAGCAAATGGCTGTGGGCAACTGTGGAAGTAGTACGTACTAAAATGATTAGCTTGGGCCAGCAGTGGCCCTGATGGGACAATTGCTTTGTTCATTCGCAGGCAGTTACAGCAAAGTTTTCTAACGAGTTCACCTTGGGGCAGAGTCGCACAAGCTGATGCCACAACACGAAATTCGTAACTGCCAAAATGGCGCCCAACGTGGGCTGTGTTAAGTTCTTAACCGCTTTAGTCAGTTGCTCCTCTTGCCAGCACCAGATATTTTCGGGCGCTCATAAATCAGTTAAGAGGTAACAGGTATCAGTCAGCGACAGGCTTTTGTCTAGCAGCCCTTATGCCCAGCTGCCGCCCGACGGCCTAAAAATAAACTGTGCCCACCCATAGGCAATCGGAAACTTTTAGGCGAACTCTTTGCAATCGATGGATTCTTTAATGAGGAATGCAAATTTAAAGGCCCAAGGATATGAAACATTGATAACTATTATTTTATGTATAGTACTAGCATACATAATCACTATTGCGCCAATCAAAGAGCGACCTCAGGCTATTTGGGTGGTGGGCAAAGGAAAGGTGATTAAAAACAATGAAAAGGTCTTCTGAGCCAACGACTGTGGGACAATGTGAATGGTGAAAATGTTGCGGTGCGTTATGCTGTGGTGTGTATTCGTAATGCGCCGGGCCAGAACCGGATGACAGGAAGAACGCATAATGAATTAGCGGGACGGAAGCGGACTAGGAAGCCAAAAGCCTGCCGTTTGAACCATTAGAGCCCGCGACCTCTGATGAGCCGCACTTGAGGTGGACAGCGTCCATTGCCCGCGGATCGATGCCCATGCCTATGGCGTCGCTTATAATGGGAGCCAGCTAACAATTTATGCATTCGTACCATTCAGGGCTTGGGCCATCGAAGGCACTTACGTGGGACAAGCACACTCCACGTATTGGCAAATGGCTTTGGCATAAATTAAGAACAAAGCCACTGATTGAAATAGCCCAAATGGGTGGCCTCTTCGTTCAAAGGCTTCTTGCAAACATAAAATTTATGAATAGTTTTAAGCGTTTTGACGCCTAAGTCTTTATTCCACTTTGGCTTACCTCCTTGAAAATAGGTCGAACCGTGTGCTCCGGAATATTAAATAGAGCATTTTGAATATGTATTCATGTGCATCATATACAGCAGGAATTTTATTTTTTGTCTATATTTCCAACCATTAATATAGTATCGATTCTTTAAAAATCTATTATAATACCTGGTAAAGTAGGTTCTTGGATAGTGTATACGGATTACAAATATTTCATTGTTGAGATGCCCTTCTCTGATTTTTCCAAAACTAAAAAAAAAAACTCATTTATTTAATATTAGGATCTTGTGCTCTGGCACAATAAATGCACATGTCGTCACCTCCCCAAAACATCATATAAGATTTATGGATACGAAGCAAACAGGCTTTTATTTTAACTGTTTGGCAACCATAACTTCCAAACTATTCCTGCAACTGATCATCTTCTTGGTAGGTTGAGTTGGTATAACTATATAATCGCATCATTTGCGCTTGCGCAATTAAGAGAACTGTGAATAATGTTTTCCGATACACGTGCGCTATAATTGAACATTATGCAATTGGTATGTTAGTATATTGCGCAATCGGCTATCATTCATACTTATTTATATATATATTTATGTGTATATATATATATGTGAGTGTGTATGTGTGTGTGTCTGCGGCTTGCTGGATTTGCTCATGCAAGAAATCAACATATCAAAATTAATTTCCCATGCATAAATAAGTAATATGAATGTCAATTTAATGCATACGGGAGCGAGAGGGGCTTCACAGAGTTCCATCATAGTACAACCACACACACACACAAACAGAAATATATGCACACACACGCATATAATGCGTAAATTAGTGTCCGTGTGTGTGTGGGCCTTTGCTCTAGTAGGTGTAATTTTAATACCAACTGCCCTTTGCCATTAATAATTTTCTTTTTGTTAGGCCCACCACACACACACACACACAAACATACACACACAAATACACACACACACACACACACACACACACACACACACACACACACACACATGCGCACACCCACACACTCACGCGGGCAAATGGCTCTCGTGCATTTTTACACACACACATACATGCTAATGTGCATATGTATGCTTACAAAAAAAAAAAAGAGAAGAGAAGCCAATATCCCCAGCAAATTTCAGTGAATTATGGCAAATTACATTCTTATCGATTGGTCCATTTTTTCTCTCTTTTTATTTTTATTTGTATTTTATTTTACTTTTTTTGTTTTTCCCACATGCGGACACGCTAGAAGACCCTCGGCATTGGTTTACTTTTTGCTTGCTGCTTTCCACCTCTGCTGCCCGGTTCACCTTCGAATTACCGTATATAATAAACACGCCCCGCAACATATGAAAGGTGGTACATGGCATGCGTAAATATTGCCATCGGCATCGACAACGGCAACGGCAACAGCAACGGCATTGCCCTGGGCAGGTCATTAAACAGACACTTGCTGTTGCCGGAAAGGCGGAATGCGAGTTGGGGCGATTGAAGTACTTGCATAATGCCAAATGCTGGGATAATTCGTTTACCTGCAAATTGACAGATCACTCAAGCACACACATTCTCCATATTATCATACATATGACGTGCTTGGCAGGTTGAGCTTTCATTCCTGATGCGCACTGCAACTAACAAGAGGTGGACCCAACTAGCAAGTTCAGCCAGCAGCTTTCCTGTTTTAGAAATAGATAGTTTAATAAGATGCTTCATATTAGGGAGTCTTAAGTTCTACAAGTATTTGCAGTATTGTTCAAATAAATGGCAAGAAAACTAAATAAAATTAAAATAATTATTATTCTGATTTAATTATTCGTGCATAGATATAGATATAGATAGATTTGAAACATGCTTTATATTTGAATAAAATAAATTGCATACAAATTAAACCAAATCATTTTACCTTGGTTTCTCTAGATTCTTCCTTGCAAGACGTCTGTTAAAGCAACCGGTTTAGAGTGATGTAAATAGGCGCAAAATTCATATACGACTCATAATTGAAATATCAATAATGATCTACAATCTTAAATGTAATGGTTGTCATTGAAGCTCAAAGGGCTTTTAAAGGGGCTAGAATAAAATAGGATAGAATAAAATATAGCCTTTGTTCTAGATGGATTCCGATAGTTTATATATATTATTTTTTTTTTTTTTTTGTTAATTTGTTGTAGAAACAAATAAGTAATCCTGGAGATAAATAAGCCTTTCAAAAGAGGTTTACATTTAAACTTGAATATGACAAGTGTGTTGGCAAGTCCGCATGCAAATCTCTTTTAACTCATGATAAAAAATATGTTTTTTATTAGTCGCTTTACTAATTCTGTGAGGCAATTATATCTGAAACTTTTTTCGAATAAAAAATTATTATTTTATTAAGTGCCAGCTTTTGAAGTACGGAAACTTAAGTCAGGTAGGTTTTTTTTTGTATTTCTTCAAACGTTTTTCAGTCATCGCATGCTATGTGATAACACAAATTGCCAGCAATCCATTGACGTGAGCCGGGAAAGGCAGAATTATCTGCTTCGATTTACTGCGAGCGCATTTTGCCTACCCCCGCTTCCGCCACCGATTGTGGGCTGTCAAATGCTGCTTCAACACCAACAATCCCCAAACATCGAGCCCCGAGCCCCATTCTACGACACACCTCATGAGCCGCAGCGTCTGTTTCTGTCCCAGGCACCTATTCTTGGCGCTGGTAATAAGATAACCTTATTGCATATGTTTATATTACAGCCATACGTGTGTGTGTGCGCGAGTGCGTGTGTGCGTGTGCGTGGATGTGTGCAGTTGATGATGAAACACCTCACAGCTGTTGGTGCTTAAAGACAACGCCACCTTTCAAGGAAAAAAAGCCAAATATACTCAAAACCAACAGCCCACCTGCCAGCCACACCCACTGCCTAACACCAGGTAGACAAAGTGGGCACAGAGGCTTGGGGCTTGGGGCTTGGGTTGGGGGTTGGGGGCTGGGGGCTGGGTGGCTGGGTGGCTGAGGGCTGTGACTGTGACTGTGGCTGTCGTATTTGTGCTCAGTGCTGCCTAATAATGCGATTGCCTTGTTATGGTTAAGCCATATAATGTAATGTGTTTGTGTGTGTGTTAGTATTTGTATTGCGTGTGTCTGTGTGTGAGCGAGTGTGCGAGAGGGATTCACAAATTCATTTTTATGATCATGTGAAATTTATTAATATTTATTGTTGTATTTGTTTGCCTTTGCCACACCATCGACTGCTGCTGCTTCTGGCGTTTTGCTTATTGTTTTTATATGTTCTGCACAGCATCAACAACAACAACAAAAACAATAGTGGCCGCATTGGATGGAAACACATTTGCAATACACGCTTGTATCTATGTGCAACATTGTATCTGTAGCTGTCAATTGCAAGCAGCAGCAGCCACAGACCCGGTGAGCCAAGTCCACAGCCAAAGCCAGGCACGAACTGTGGACTGTTTGTGAGCTCTGTGTTTTTTTTGTTTTGTTGTGTGTGTGTGTGTGTGTGTGTGTGTGTGTTCGCGTTTTGCACGTGTATGAAATGCGCGTAAATACAAATTAAGATACAAGCCGGAGCTGCATACAGATCACCAGAATCCACTCAGAGACAAAATTACCGAATATATCCATGAATGGCCATCAATGCCGAGCAGCCAAGCACAAAAGGTGGCTCAGAGCTTGGCCAAATGGCAACCGTGGCCCAATCAATCCTCACTTCTCGCTGTCAATGTCGAACATTTTCAGACGAACCCAATACAGTTGCGATGCGTTTGCAAGATTTGCATTTATCGAATGCTAATTAAAATTGGCCCGATACCATTTTAATCTTCTTATCGGCTCCAAACCGGAATTACAATTTTCATTTTGCTATGGGTCGACCACAAACTAGTTCAGTGGCCCCCAAAACAGACTGTAATTAAAAACTTTGAAAAATATTATTTCAATATTTCACATTTGTATAAAAGTACTGATATGTAAAGTAAATAACTAGATTTCATATAAAATGTGTAAATTGGCACGAAACAAGGTTCGAACAAAAACAAAGTTACGAATAACCAAATAATCGAACCAAGGTTCGAGCCTTGACAATATGTTCTTGGGCATTGATTATTGACTATTTTTATTTAATGAAGACGGAAACATACGTTTTTTTTTTATTTTTGCATTTAAGTTGGATTACAATTCCTTAAAACTGATTGAGAAACGTTCAAATCCTTAACCGTGCTCTAAGCAGAGATCAGAATGTAATAATATGGTGCAGAAATAATATTATCTATAGTATATATATCTACTAAATCTCTGATAATTTGAATTAATCTCTTCTTTATGTTCAAATCACATTGCGAAAAAAATTCAATATGCATTTCTATTTATAGTGTTAGTACTTAAAGCAAGCTTGTATGATAACTACTAGACCAATTACTAACAGATACAACTATACAACAGTAATCCGCTTTCGCGCCACCCTCTGCCAACACTCTGCTCTAAAGTACTTCACCCTAATTGGTGGGAGAATTTGAATGCTTGTGCGAATTTAATTGGAGGCATATTAGCTCAAGTCTAAGCTGCAATAAATGCATTCTTAGCTACTTAGCTTCAATTTCAAGTATAGTTACTAAGCTCCGCTCCAGACAACCACCCTCTCTCGCTCTCTCCCTCTCCCCTCCATGCATCCTTCCACACGCACTCATGCACACTGAAAGCAACACTGAGTGTTTGTGCCCCTTCTCATAAGAACCTTTTCCGCTACTCTTTCGATGACGGCACGAAATCAAATCTCATGCAAATTATACGCCTTTTTACGCATTTACACAATGATAGTGTCAGGTGTGGCGCGGAGGGAACGATGGCCGGGGCAGGCGCTGTGCCGATTTGTTGAGTGGTGCGGGGTGCACAGTCCCTTTGTCATATTGCAAAACGTGTGCTTGGCTACGACAGCGGGTGGGAGAGCTTCGTTTAAATTTGCCTCCAATTGCTGCGAGCGCTACCCAAAAGCAGTGGCAACTATTGAGCTGGTTCGTCAAAAAATAAATAGAAATAATTTTTTGGAAAAATTACGTTATATTTTTAAATTTAATTCAAACATTCCAGAAAGAGAAATGTTTTCTGCTTCAATTATTTTGAAAGTCCGACTGTGTATACCCTTCAGGTGTCAGTCACCTACAGGATATGAAGGCAACAGCTGCTAAAAGGAAACGCGGCGTTGATGAAGCGTCTTCGTCATGGCGTCATGAAAATGCCAGGAACAACAGACAGGGGCAGGGGACATGAGCATTAACGTTGAGTGTTGGAAAATATGCCAATGTTCGCGGGCAACGCATGTGCTCCTGGCTGCCAACTCCTGTTTCTGTTCCTGTTACCGCGCGTGCCCGCCTCCCACTCCACCCACTTCTCCCACGTTCGTTCTACACATGTCTCACGGTACGTTTTACATTTCATATCTGATTTTTGTGCGTGGAAATTTAATTTGTATTTCATCATACGAGTACTTGTCTGCCATGTGCCGAGCGCCGAGTGCCGTGCGCCGAGCCCGTTATCCTGTCAGGTCCTGCCGCACCACTCAGTCAGAGTAATGCAAAAAAAAAAAATAAAATAAAAAAAAATAAAAATATGCCAGCAAAAATCTGAAAAAAATAAAAAACAAAAGGTAAAAGCAAAATTCCACGGCAAACGAGCAATTGAACGGCTTTCGGGTGTGGCACACGCACACACACACACACACATAGCAAACAAATCGAGGGTAAATCGATTGTTTGCAATTCCCAGAATTTTCGGGTATTGTTGAAACTGTACCTTAAATACTAGAAAAAGATTATAAATATTATATACAAATCTTAAGTACATGTGAAATGCAAAACAATATTTTATATAAAGAATATATTTGTATACATATTACTATATATGTATTTCTATATATCAGCTTTGCTTTTGAATGTTCGTTTATTCTTCAGTCTGTCAGTCGATGGGTTTTAGTATGGATTGTCCCTAAAAGCTAAAGACACGTTTTCAATATATACTTATTAAATATTATATATTATATATTAGTATAATTTCTATTACTATTCTTTTTTTTTTACGTGACTTTGAATCTTGACTTTTAAGGCGGTTGCAACGTCACGTCCATAATCTAGCTGACAATTTTAAGCAGATTTCTCGTTTTTGTAGTGGACCAAATCTAAAGGAAACACAATCAATTCTTTTATCAAAAACTACAAATTCGTTCCTTAGCTCACTAATTGAAAATTATGTAAAAACAACTTTAAAAATATTAAGTACATTTGTTTAGATTAACAGAAAATCGTAATAAACAAATACAATATGCAATGTTGATAATGTGGAATTGGTCGATCTTACCCTTATGCTTTATTCTTGAACGCATCTCGCCGAAAATCTGTGCATGCATATGTACCATTAATGTATTTGCGCTCATGCATGCGTAAAAAGTCGTGTTATGCTAAAGCACCAAAAACATGTTGCACTTATGATCGTTAAATTTGTGTTTTGTCACCGCAAGGCAGAGCGAGTGAGAGGTAAAGAGAAAGAGTGAGAGAGGGAGGGGGAGGGGAATAGAGAAAAGAAAGTGGCTAGCATCATTCATAATGAAAGCGCGAAATGTAGTTTATCAAGCTATTAGTCCGCCGAGGCATGCCAAGAATGAGGCAGACAGGCAGAGAGTTGGAGAGACAGAGTCCCAGTCAAAGTGCAAGATGCACTTAAGCGTACAAACACACACACACGCAGAAAAAGAAGAGAGAGAGAAGGACACACATGCAGTCACACACACACACGCACACACATCATGTCATGTGACAAATGCAAACAACAACAAAATGCAGCTGTGTGTGAAGTCATCAACTTGGCTGATGATAGCAAAGACTACAGCCTTGGCAGGAAGATTGCTGCCAGAAAACATGGCCAGGAGCTACTGCACCCAAGCCCCTCCCCCTCCTCTCCCCCTCCCCTGCCACTACTCCACCGATACGCCCCAGCCAAGTCTAGGCAACACCCGGTTCCTGCTATGCTAGACAGCAGCTGCTGGCAGCGAAAATAATATAAATAACTTTAAGTACATTTGATTTTTCACAATTTTGTTGCAATTTGTTTTGGACGCAACGCGATGAGTTGCTTTATGGTTGCAAATAAGAGAAGATAAGGCAAATATAAATAAATTAAGCCAAGTATGCAGCTACAAATAAATGAAAATGAAAACTCTTCGACGGCACACGCAGCGTATGCGTTATTTGCAATTATCTGCAGTGGCTGTGATTTGCGCAGCGCATATCTGCATGCGGTATCCGTGTGAGTCTGTCTATGTGTGTGACTGTGTGTGTGACTGTGTCTGCGTCTGTGTGCGCGTGTATGTGTGCGCGCGTGTGCATCTGATTGGTGGTGTGCGCTCTGGCGTTTATTTTTCAATTTTTAATTAAAGATTCCATGCGTTTCCCTATAAATTATGCGTTAAATGTGCACGCAGCTAAGCTCATTTTGGTGGTGCGCCACGTTATGATTTACACACACGGATAACGCCAGTTTTATGGCATTTTTGGCAGCTGCCTTTAACGTACTTATAAATGAACATCAATTCAGCTTTAATCTGTTAAATCAAGTTTAAGAACACATTAAAGCTTCTGTCGCAAACAATTTTAGTTCTAATGTTAAGCTTGCGGTTCAATAAATGGGCCTACTTTTCGGACGAGCCTTTCTTAACTCGGTTCTAGATTTCAGCTGTGTACATAGCTGAATATAGAGTAATATATGTTTCTAAGCTACTTAGACACATTAAGGAGGCTAATCTCTTTAAATGACGGTAAATAAGCTCGATTTTTGAAGGATATGACACTTAGAGCAATGCAACTTTAACACAAATATAGGGTAAGACAAGACAAGACTAGACAAGACATAAGACAACAAGTTTTGGATAATTTTGCGGAATATCTTGGTTAAATATCGGTTCTACAAAAATTTGTTTTCCAATCTATTTTGTAGAGCTCCCGAGTGAAGTAAAACAATCTATGTTTCCAAGTCGAATAGAATTTTTGTAGGCTTTCAAATCCTCATGCACCTGACACATAATCAATGTAAGATATACTTTTATGAAGATTAAATGTCTATCCCCCTAGTTAGATCAAAGCACTTGCTAAACTGAAGCTTTAGTTAGTTTTTCATCCTCAAGCACAATTCGTGAAGTGTAACTTAAACGGGGTCCCTTTTCTGCATAGCCTGTTTCACTTATTTGCCCGCTTTGCTATCTGATTCGATTGCGCATAACCAGTCCGGGGCTTGGGCGTAACGGCAGCTGACAAATCAACATATCAACCTGTTTCCGTCGCCGACCTGCCCCCGATTGCCTGCTATTCGATTGGCACTCGTAAATCTCATCTCTGGTAATTTATGCCTATGCCAAAAAAAAGAAGGAAGAAATGAAAAAAGGAAAAAAGGAAATATGCATTGATATTTTGATGCAAAGCAGTTGATTTAACAACTAGCAGCTGGCAAGGGGCAGAGGGTGCGGTAACAGAAGCAGCACAAAGTGTAAAGTTTTGCATGGGATGCGAAGACGCAAGTGAAATAAAAGAGGAAAACTGCCATGAAAATGCCAAAAGAAAATATGACGCTCATTTACATGCAGAAAAACAGAGAACAAAACAGGAGCAGCGGAAGGAGAAAGGGGGAGGGCGGCGGAGGCGGAGCCGAACGGAAGTCGAGCGACTGTCAGGCAGCCAGACAGCGTGCATTTAGCATATTTGCCACTATCTGGCGTTGGCTTTTGCCGCTGCAGAATCCTTTATCCTCGGCACTTCATTGTGGTCGAGCTGGTCCTGCCATTGCCGGCGCAGGCGCGACTTTGTTCAAGCAAAATGGGGCACTTGGACGGGGCTTGACTTGGAATTGGTGCTCGTTGTTCGGAGCTTGGGTCTTGGGATTTGGGATTTCCGTTTACT